TTTTTTTTTTTTTTTTTTTTTTTTTTAGGCTTATCAAATAAATTTCAACGTTCTGCTCTATTTGGAATTGTATAGATTCGGGTAATTTCTGAATGATTTTACCCTAAGTGGTAAATACATACATCCATTTGCACAAATGTTTTTAATTTTTTAAAAAATCAAACCTCTCTTATATATGGAGCATAAAATTACGCTCAATTATTTCTCCATGTCTCATTTTAAAATTATATGTGAGTCTAAAGAATAGAACATTATTTTATATCCAAGTCCAACTTTTATGAGATATATTTTACAATATGGCTATTTTGATATCTATGTCAATAGTCATTTATGAAATAACCTATGAATGGGAATTTTCATGGAAAATATATGGCTCTCATATTCCTTTCTTTCTCTCATTTTGCTTTTGGTTTTCTTTCTTGGATATGATAGTGGTTTTTAGTGTCCAATTTTAAGATTTTGATTTTAAATATAAAAAATGGCCATTTACCTTTTTAAAGAGAAAATAAACTACACAGGCAGATTAAGTGATTTTTTATTTTTATTTTTTTTGCATTCAAACATTATTTTCTATATGTTTTAACTAAACAGGTCCCGATTTTTGCTTTTTATGATTTCATCTCTATTGGGGAACAAAGCCAGTTATTGTGATATTTGACTTACAAAAGTGATAGCTAACAAAGTACATCCCAGATAATTTTGATTTTATTTTAATAAGGTCAGCAATAATCAGGGGAGTGGAACAAGTAGAAAATTGTTCCCAAAGGAATATTAAAAGTGGAGATAATCTAATTCTCCAAGGTATGATATGTTGACCTGGTAATTTCAGATATGATTTTATCATTCAGACTTGGATGTCTCCTGAGACTTGCTTCAGAACAATCCGAGATGATTTTCATTGTCAGCAGCTAACACTAATAAAATTGTTTTTCCTGCAGGCTAGCGTGTTAGGAAATTAAATTTATCTAATTATACGAATTGCACCATCGCTTTTCACATTGTAATTAAAATACATCTTGTCAGGTTCTACCTCTTCCCAGAAACTATTAGTTGACTATCTCTGTATTGTATTTTCTCAGAGAACGGTGCAGAAAAATGCAAAATATGTTTGCCTGGCAAATAAAAACTGCCCTGTAGACAAGAGACGTCGAAACCGATGTCAGTACTGTCGATTTCAGAAGTGTCTCAGTGTCGGAATGGTTAAAGAAGGTATGGCTGTAATGCTTTTTATACAACTTGCTTATATGTATTATTCTCAGATATCACTGAAAACATGTTAATATTTATGTTGGGATGGTGAATCTTCCTCGTTTCCCTTTCCTGCCAACATTTTGTTTTTATAGTGTATGTTTACATTTAAATATAGCTGAGGACCATTTATTCTAATTTCTCAAAATCAATAGAGAGCTTGTGTACATACATCTTTGTTCTATTTAAGGAGGAGATTTTTAGGGCTAATTCATTACCAAATGTAAGTTATGGGATGGCTTTTATGCTGCTTGTTTCAACTCTCATTAAATCATTGTGTGAATATTATTCCAAACTTACTGCCACTTTTAAATGGTTGGTCTCATTAACGATGGCTCGACTGTAAACTGTTTTGATTCCTATTTGTGATTTATGGCTATTCATGAATATCTTTGAAGACATTTCTTCTCTTTTTCTCTTGGCCTCAGTTGTCCGTACAGATAGTCTGAAGGGGAGGAGAGGTCGGCTGCCTTCAAAACCAAAGAGCCCATTACAGCAGGAACCTTCTCAGCCCTCTCCACCTTCTCCTCCGATCTGTATGATGAATGCCCTTGTCCGAGCTTTAACAGACTCAACGCCCAGAGATCTCGATTATTCCAGAGTAAGTTTTATAATGTCCTGTTTTCATATGAATGATCAGGGTCACTACTCATGATACTAGTAATAAGAGTTGATTGAATGACTTTGTGCCTGCCACTGTGCTGAACAGTTTGCATACCTTTTCCATATTTCTCACTTCATTTAGCAGTTCCAGGGCATCAGTTACCCATACCAAGGCTACATAACACAATCTGTCATTACTCCAGGATATTTGAAATCACTTTTGATGGTCAGTCCAGAGAATTTAGGCTCCAAAAGTGATTTTTTTGCGGGGGCCCCAAATTATCCGATTATTGATCTGTGAGGACTCTTCAGTGATTCTATGACAAACCCTCCCCAGCACTTTGAGTTGTCCCAGCTGGGAACTATCTCCACACTGAAAAATCAATCCAGCTCATTTGCTTGCCTCTGCACCATTCAGTGTGTTAGACTAGAGTCATCATCCTCATCAACAAACATTTATCCAATTTAATTGTTAGCTTTGTCCAAAATAGCAGATTGACCGTGCCAGAGTCTGGGTCACACTGATACTACCTTTGGGGCCTGGCTCAATTTTGTAAAGCGTATTTATTTTAATTGCGTTGTTTTGGAATTAGGTTGAACCTCATAGCTTGGATCCTCCTGCTTTTAGATAGCTTTACACAATTATCAAAAATTGGACCCAAATCAACAAATTAAAAGACTTTTTAAAAAATACAGTGAGTTTTCATTAAAAACTTGGATGAAGGCAGAGAAGGCATGCTGATCACATTTGCAGATGACAGAAAGCTGGGAGGGATCGCTAATATGATGGATGTCAGTATCAACATTCAGAGTGATTTCGACAGGTTGGAACAAGATGGGCTGAAACCATCATGAAGAAAGTTAACAAAAATAAATGTGAAGCTAATCTAAGCATTTATAATTTTAAAACATGCGAGGGTCTTGGCCTGTCAGTAGTTCATGTTAAGAAGATCTTGGGAGTTTATACACTTACCATGAACCAACAGAGGATATGTGTGGTGGAAGAGAGAGATGCTAAATTACTTTAGGCTGCAGAAGTATGGTACCAGAACCAAGTTGACGGTAGTTCCATGGGCTCTGTCCTGTCAGACCACACTTCAGGATTGAGTCCAATTCCAACCTGGGGTTTAAGAGGGACATGGACATACTGTTTTTGGAAACTTGTAAAGGATGATTGGATGAAATAACAATATGTAGACAGGAATGAAGAAGGTCACTCTTCTACCCTGTGGCAAAGAGGACTGTTGCTCCCAAGGACAGACCTAGGAGAAGGAGGGGAACCCTTTCAGCTCACTCTGAAGAGAGGGATGAGCTCTCTTAGCTACAAGAGCTGCTATGAAAGTGTGATCATCAACACAAGTAACTAAGGAGAACACGTAACAGGATTTCTCCCTAGCAGAGAGGTTATCTGGGATGATATTAAGTTCCTTCCAACTCTGAGATTTTATGATTCTGGGGTTTACCATATTGTCTCTAAATTCAAGTGATTATATATACCTGTACATATAAAAATATGTGTTGTTAAGTAACGTGTTATTTAACAAAATTGAACTTGCTTTGTTCTCTAAAAAAGCATTAACATAAAATGAATGAAGCAAAATTAAATTGTTGAGTGCCTACTACTTAAGCCCCAGCTTTCTGTGATATAATTTATGGTTTCAGTAATTTTTTAAGAATATCATTCAGCCCTGGTCAAGTTGGAATGTTGTCCTATGCACCAAGAGGTTGCGGTTCAATTCCCAGTCAGGGCATATACCTAGGTTGCAGGTTTTAATGCCTGGTTGGGGCACATACAGGAGGCAACTGAACAATGTTTCCCTCTCACATCGATGTTTCTTTCTCTCTCTCTCTGTCTGTCTCTCTCTCCCTTCCTCTCTCTAAAACATATCCTCGGCTGAGGATTGAAAAAAATGTCATCAATTGAAACTCAATTTTCATAATACCTTCTCCTCCTTAAAGTTTTATATTTTTAAATTTATACAACTGGAGGTGACCTTGAGATCAGATCATCTAATCCAACCCCCATATTTTAAGAGGAGTATACAAAGGCTTCCAGGGGGTTAAGTGACTTGTCTAAGGTCAGTGGCAGAGCATTGCCTAGATCCAAATCTCATCATTCAAGGTATTTGAATACATGTTCCTAGTTCATCACACTGCCACTTCTACTTAATGGCAATTTAACTAGATGTTTTTAAAAGAAGCTTCATTTAATTTTTAAAAATTACAATAATAGCAATATATATCCATTCGTTTTTAAAAGGCAAACCATTTAGAAGTGAAAAATGAAAGTCTCTTAATTTGTTCCTGTCTAATTTCATTCTTCAGCAGTAGCCGATAACAGCAGTAGTGTGTATCCATAATTTATTACATTTTAAATAAGAATGTGCCCTGTCAGGTTTGAGTCAGACAGTTGATTTGATGGAAACAATTTATAAAAGGTACTAGTTTCCCTCAGTGAATCAGGCAAATAGAGAAATGAGGGAATGTTTGTCAGGCAGGTGTGTTCCAACCTTCTTGTACCAGCATATGTGCCTTTAAGGTAGTAAGTGAGCAGTTTTCCTCATTTGTGGGAGGAGGGGGAAGAGTTGTGTTCCAAGTCCCAGAGGGAACGAGTGTTTTAGAGGCCAGAGAGAGAGCGCTCACTTTGTGAAGCGTTCCTGGCTCTGGGACCTCCTCATTTCCTTTGGGCCAAACTTCTCTCCTTCAAAACTGAGCTCAGATCATTGTATATCGGTGCAGTCAAAACATGTCACATTTGATTGGTTTCTTCTTGAAATGTTGCTATTCTCTGCCCCACAGTTGCTTTTAATTTAGCAATACAAGTATATATAGATACTGGGCTTGGCTTCAGAACCTGCGTAATTACTAATGAGAAAATAAACTTAACATCCTCATTAGTTGGTCATTTCAAGTATTTTTCAGCAAAACTAGGATGTTTTCTGGTAATTGGTGTCACTTAGTGTAGTACTGATGCCAAACACAAGAGATATTGCTCAGATAAAACCAGGCCCCAGCAAATGGTATTTAAGTATGTCACCGAGATAGCTTGAGAAACAACATGGCTAACACATGTTAGGCCTACAAAGTAAACAGCATGAAGACTGCAGAGGGTGGTCTCATGAGGCTCCTCAGAAGATCCTCGCAAATTGCCACCAGTTTACTAGATGATTTCAGGCCAGTTCCTTCCCCCCGGTGGGCCTGTCTCCTCATCTGAATGGTGAGGAGACTGGACTAAGTGCACTCGCATGACCCCTTCCAGCCTTCTCACTCCCTGACTCTCTGATTGTTATGCCTGCTATAATTTCACTATGGGGACAGGTCAGCATTTCCAAAGCATGCTGCCCAGACGGCCTCCATCAGAAGGAGCCAGGGTATTTGCTTAAAATGCAGATTTCCCAGTCATGCTCAGGCTGGGAAATCTGTATCAGAACTGAGGAAAGGGACAGGCAGACAGGAATCTATATTTTGACAAGCACCTCAGATGATTCATTGGCACACTAAAATTTGAGAACCATTGATATAGTTTAATAGGAACAATTTTACCTTGAATCTCCTATTTCCCAGCTTTTCTTGGGCTGAGAAGGAATGAGCAATGGAGATAAAAATTTTCAAGAAAGCAATTAATTCACTTAACAAATATGTATTGATGCCCTAGCCAGTTTTGCTCAGTGGTTAGAGTATCGGCCCAAGGACTAAAGGGTCCCGGGTTTGATTCCAGCCAAGCATGTACCTCGGTTGCAGGTTCCCTGTCCCGTCTGGGCATGTGGGGGAGGCAACCAATCGATGTGTGTGTGTGTCTCTCTCTCCCTTCCACTCTCTCTGAAAAAAGCAGTGGAAAAAATATCCTCTGCTGAGGAATAAGTAAATAAATAAATATGTATTGAATGACTCCTGGGTGTCAGGCACTGTTCTAGAGCAATGGACACATTGTTGAGTAAGAAAAGCTCCTACATTCTTGGAGCTTACATGGCATAAACGAAAGAGAAAGTAAACAAATAACTGAGTGATGCCATTGGGGGCGGGGGGTTTGTTTCTGGTTTGTTTTTAAGAGGAGTTAATTAGATAAGAAAGGAATAAATGTGGGGGAAAATATATTCACTGCCAATTTTTAAAGCGTAAGAACCTAAGAATATGTATATATAGCTTGGCTTATAGAATGATCACATCTAAAATATATAAAGATACAGGGAAAATTAACATTGTAAGGGGAGATAAAATGTTCTTAGGGTTTTTTCATGTTTAGCCTGGACTGACAAGTGAGATATGACAGCATCGTATTGCTAATTTTTTTAGAGCTGGTGTTCCCATTCAAATAACTTATTTTAGGACTAGGCTGTGCCTCAGATCTGACCTCTGTAGCCATATTATTGTCATACAAAATGTATAGGCTCATTTCAGTTTAAATAACTTTCATCGTTGTTTGTAGTTCTAGATTCTCATTCCAGATGCTTTGGTGAGATCGCCATTAGCCATTAGTTGTCAGTAAATGTAATACTGTGTCTTTGACTAGTTGTAAAGCGAGATTTTTAATGGATCAATGATCCACACAGGCTAGAATAAAAAGTTAGCATAAACAGGAGAAAAGATTCATTTCTAAAGTCTTTTTTATTTGGTCTATGTTTGATTGGAATGATCAATAAACACATATTTCTAGGTTTTCTTTGGTGAACCCTAAGCCTGCCTGGCCCTGAGAGAGTAATGTAGGGGAGCACACAATCAGAGATGGGGGTCTGGTTCTTCCAAAGCCAGGTCCAGTATTCCTTGGTGAGATTTTTATAAAGTGGTAGGCCAGTCAGAGAAAGAATCTAAAATGTTTTGTTATGTTTCTTTAAATCTTATGTTCACTAGAGGGGATACTTGGTTTGTCCTTTCCCTCAGCATTAGATGCTAACCCTCTCTTCACCCCCAAGTTACTGGTGGCTCAGGCTGGTCCAGTTTGGTTCCAGAATACGGAAACATGGACAGAATCACTGTAGGTGAGGCCCAGAGGGCCTGGCTGGGGCCTGGCATGCCAGGTCTGCTGGCTTTTCTCCTTGTTGGGCCTCATCAGAGAAAACTGCACACGCAGGGCAGCAGGGACTGCATTTTCCTGTGTGCAGGATGCATGAAATGTGAGCCCAGCAGGGGCAGAGGCCTGCAGGGGACGCAGGGTGAAAGCTAAGTGCTCTCAGGATGGTGAGCAAATATTGGAAGCAGAGGGATTATTGAGTTTTGAGCCATGGTTTCAGGGAAGTCAGTGCAGGAGGGAGCTGTTAGGTCCCATTCCCAGGAAAAAGTTTGCAGCCTTTAGTCTTTTTCTCTCCATTAACACACTGTTTTAAAACAAAACAATGCTGAATCAAGGTCAAATTCTAGGCAATTACATCATGCCCAGTGTGATTAGCAACATTTAGAATCATCACATGCAAGAGCCATCACATTCACAATCCTGGAACGCTCACCAGGATTGCTGATAGTCTGGGCCACAAAACACACTTTAGCAAATTTTAAAAAATAGAAATCATACAATGTCTGCTGTCAAACCACAGTGGAATTAAACTAGAAATCAATAACAGAAAAATAACTGAATGCAAGAGTCAGAAGGAATCTTAGGGATCAGCTAGGGCAGTCACTTCCTACTTCAGAGGTGGAAACAGGCACAGAGAAGTTAAGTGACTTGTCTCGGGCTGCACAGCAAGTCAGTGCCAGGGCCTAGAGGAGGACCCCATGTTCTGCTGCCTCTGCTCGATATTACCACTCATTTGGGAGTTCCACATGTAGTGCTGTCAGCTTTCTAAAGGTGGTTCTGCCCTGATTTTTCATCTTGCCCTTGGAGAGCATATGGAATTAGATTCATATCAGAGAGAAAGTAAAAAAGTAAAATAAAATCCCCTTTTTCCACTCTCTTGCAGTCAAGATAGTGTGTGTAAACTGAAAGGAGGTGGTGGGAAGATTCTGACACCAGGATCAGGCTGCCATCCTTGACTCTCCATAGGAAGGACGACTGGTTCTTCTCCCATGGTCCATTATATCACAGAAACATCCAGGGCTTCAGAAAATCTGGGCCCTGGCCGGGATGATTGGGAACAGAGGATCCAGGACTCTAAACTGGACCTGATGTTATAGGATCCTAGAAAGTCAAGCTGCAAAGTAGAAATCTTTTCCCATTTTAAATATGGAGGCTGAGGGACAGTGAGAATTTGAAGAGTCATAACCGCTATCAGTATCATCACTGTCATCATCTGTGAAACACATTCTATGTGTCAGGCCCTTCACATATGTTATCACATTTAAGCATCGCAACAAACTATTGAGGAAGGCATTATCCCCACTTTAAGGAGGCGAAAACTGAAGTCATTTACCCCAGATAACTAAAGTAAGCAGCAGAGAACTACACTGTTTCACAAATTAGGGGCTTGGACAAATATAGAACTAAAGTAGCTCGGCTCCTCATCTGATGTTTCTTTTGTTACTTCATGATGCCTCTTGGGAAAGCACAAAGAAAAAAAAAAGGCCCAATTAAGACAAGTGCCTCATTTCCTCATACCTAAGTAGTTCTACAATAAGGGCCTGGCTGCGTATCGGCTGACTCTCCTCCGGCCAGGTTAGGGCGTTGTGGAAACCGAGGCACTCCCTTGACTCTTAACTCTTCTTTCATTGAACAATATTCAACGACTATTTATTGAGTCAATCATGTGCCAATCACTGTGTTGCTGACAAAACATGGGACCAAAGGAATACGTACCTGGAGACCTCCAATTAGAGCAAAATAAAACGCTTTTTTAAAACCATACCACGGGCTACCAGCTAGTAACATCAGACATGTGAGCAGCCAGGAGGGTAGGGAAGCAGAAGGCCACGTCTAAGTCTCGGCTGTACCACTGTTGGCTATAGAACTCGGGAAAGTCTCTTAGCCTCTCTGGGCTTCTCTGAGCCTCAGTTTCCTGATTTGTAAAATAAGAATTAAAATCCATACCCCAGGAGGATTAACTGAGAGAAGGGATGCGAAAGAGCAAGCAGCGGTTAGTGTGAAGGGAATGAGTGTGTATTTACATAAGCATTTCTGTAGATCTGGCTGTGCTGTTGGTTGTCCCTTGATTATTACTTTGCTGTATCAATCTTTCTGCCTGAAGTAGGAAAGATTTTTCTTCCTGTGATTCAGGCAAGACCCAGAATATCCAAAAACTGGGTAAAGACTTTATTCCTATTTGTATATTTCTCCTCCAGGGACCCTCTAGATCAATCCTGTTCGACAGAATGTTCTGCAGTGATGGAAATGTTCTATACCATGTGTGGCTGTGGAGCTTGAAATATGGCTAGTGTGACAGAGGAACTGAATTTCTATTTTAATTTTCAATAATTTAAGCAGCCACAAGTCCCGAGTCCAATAGCCCACAGCCTCCTGGGCCCTTCCAAGGAGACACCCTCCCCGCTCCTCTTCCTGGTTTGTTTTGTCTCACAGAAATCTGTCTACAGCAAGCAAAAATCATTATCTCCTCCTAGTCATTAATTCTGCCATTTCCAAACTTTGGTGTGCATGAGAATCACCTGGAGATCTTTATAAAACAGTTTCTTAAGCCTACTCTCAGAGTTACTGATTCTGTAGGTCTGGGGCAGGACCCGAGATGTTCTTTTCTTTTTTTAAATATATCTTTATTGATTTCAGAGAGAGGAAAGGAGAGGGAGAGAGAGAGAGAGAAACATCAATGATAAGAGAGTCATTGATCAAGCCCTCAACTCGGGCATGTGCCCTGACCGGGAATCAAACCCCAATCACCTGGATCCCAGGTCGATGCTCAACCGCTGAGCCACGCCCGGCTAGGCGAGCAGGACCCGAGATGTTCTTTTCTAGTCCATTCCCTGGTGTTGCTGATGCTACTGGTCCAAGGACCACACTTTGAGAACCATGGGTTAATTAAGCATCTCATTTGGAGACAGCTGTGCTTCAGTGGAGTCAGTAGATGCTGGAGGCTCACTTGGACACAAACCCCTGAAGTATTTGGTTCTCAATGCTGGCTTCCCTTTGGAACCACCTGGGGAGCTTTTAACAGTCCCGAGGACCAGTCCTCAACCCAGACCAGTTAAATTAGAATCTCTGTGGTGATGATCCAAATGTGAGTGTTTTTTAAAGCTCCCCAGATGATTGCAGTCAGCATCGAAAACCACTGCACTGATGGGACTTCAGCAAAGCTCTTTGCCTGTTAAGTGGTAACAAAATTCACTCTGTATCATGGGGCTATTGTGAAAATGAAATAAGACTGTGAGTGCGAAAGGGTTTTATCAACTGTTGGACCTTAAAGTAAGGATTCAGGTATGGACAGCCTCGGAAGGGCCCACCTGCGAACGCTGGGGTCGTCCCGGCTGAGTGGCGATAACGCGGCTCTCTGTGGTTTGCGTTCCAGTACTGCTCCGCGGACCAGGCCGCTGCAGGCACGGACGCCGAGCACGTTCAACAGTTCTACAGCCTCCTGACAGCCTCCATCGACGTATCCAGAAGCTGGGCAGAAAAGATCCCTGGATTTACTGATCTTCCCAAAGAAGATCAGACGTTACTTATAGAATCAGCCTTTTTGGAGCTGTTTGTTCTCAGACTTTCCATCAGGTAACTACTATTATCTAATCTTCCGTCCACTCCTTTCTTTGAAGAAGTTTGAAACCTGCTGTGCTTGTAAATGAGTCATCAGAGAGAAGGCTGCACAGGAAGGAAATGTAAAATATGGTCGGCTGCACAGTGGGTAGTGCATTGGCCAGAAGGCAGGACTGCTGGCTTCTACCCTCTGCTCTAATGTGGACCGGCTCTAAGACCCTGAGCAGGTCACTTGCCTCATCGGAAGTTCCGTTTCCTTCTTTGTAAAATGAGGAGGTTGGATTTGGTGACCTCTGAAGCTCCTCCTAACGCCAACATTCTGTGATTCTACAGAGTCCCATGGTGCATAAGGTATTTCCTGGGAGCAAGTATTTGTTTTGAGCGTTGCATTTACCTCACGGGTTTCTATTTACAAGTCACTGTTCTATTACACCAGACGGGGCTCTAAAGAGTCGCCACAGCTCCTTAACCCCCAATGTTTACTCCAAGAGAATAGCTCCTAGATCAAAAGATTCGGTTCAACCTGTCATACTCAGTGACACCGAACATAAAGTGGGAGTTCTTTTCCAAAGAGCTGGAACCTGGGATCTCAGCTCATCTCATAAAGTCCATGTGTAACATTTTAAGTTCAATCTTCCTTGCTTCCTTGCAGTTATGTATTTTTAGGAGATGGTACCAACATTTCACAGAATATTATAGGGGGAAAAAGTCTCCTTCCCCCCCATTCTCTTTCTTACCCCCCTCTTCAGTTTTATACTGTGTTAGCAGAAATTCTTGTTTAAAGTGCAGTTTCCCATGCCTCATTCCCAGCTCTTTTGGTTGGGAGCTGTCTTAGAGGAAGTCTAGAAATCTGCATTTTAACTCATGCTCCAGTGATTCTGATACCAGTGGTCTGAGGTCCAGGTATCAAACTCTGAGACTGAGCCATTCTGTCCTGTGTACCTCTGTGGAGGGATCTGTGGGAGAGACATGCAATTACAACTAGAGTGGCAATAATTAGCATCATTACAACTAATCTTGTGTACGCAGGAGCCAGGCCAGAGATGTGACCATCATTTGTTAGGCAGGCAGCAAAGGATTAAGTAAGTAAATGATTAGCTCCATGCGGGCAGGCACTATACATGCTCTGTTCACCAAGTTTTCTCCGTGTCTGGCTCTAGGAATGGCACATTCTTGACAGAAATACTTGATGAGTGAATGAATGAAGCTCTGCGTCCAAGAGGCACAGTTAGAGAGATATTAACTTGTTAGTGCAGTAGGCTGAAAGAGATAGGTATGTGGAAAGAGATTTGAAAATTAAAGGAAGGCTAAGATTAAAGTTAGGACCACATAAAATTCAGAATTAATTACATCGAGCACTCCTCTTGTGTACCAGGCACTATGCATGGGCTTTCCAATCCAATATTTTATTTAATTCCACAACAATCTTAGGAGGTAGCAAGTAGAACTCCTGTTTATACATAAGGAAAAGGAAACCCAGAGAGAGTAAAGGAGTGCCGAAGGCCCCACGGCTGAGTGGTGATGTCCAACTAGAAGTTCCAGGGCACATTTCATGAGAGAAGTAGAGGATGCTTATGGACATAATATAAACTGTCAGGACAGATTTAGAAATAGCCTTCCACAGTACCATTGTTAAAAGCAGAGAAGGTAATACAAAATAAGGACTCTTGATTTTAGGCCACTTTTTAGTTTGTGATTGACTTCTGGCGCTTGCAGGGACTTGGTGTTTTTAGAGTCTGCGCAATGGAATTATAGTGTGTAGCCTCAGGACTTATCAGTTTTTGACATTTAAGAAAATGAGGGAACAGTCTCAGTTCACTGCAGAGAGAGGCGATGCACTGAGTTTCACTTCCACAGTTCGTGAGTGCCTGCATCTCTGTGTCCTGTCCCAGGGTAATCCCGCAACCGAGTCTAGCAGCTTCCCCGGGGTTGGTGCTCACCTAGAAAGTTAGCATAGACAAGTGGTGGTGGTTGTTATCCCAGGAGCACAGTCTTATTAGTCAAGGGTGTTTGGGCAGGTTTCACAGCACCACAATGGATTCTGAACACTGCCCCATGGCCGTCTGGGTGCCTGTGTGTTATGATGCTATCCCATTAGACGGACTGAACAGACCTAGTTAATGTGTTCTATCCCCCACCCCCAACTTTCTCTTGTAGGTCAAACACTGCTGAAGATAAGTTTGTGTTCTGCAATGGACTTGTCCTGCACCGACTTCAGTGCCTTCGTGGATTTGGGGAGTGGCTCGACTCCATTAAAGACTTTTCCTTAAGTTTGCAGAGCCTGAACCTTGATATCCAAGCCTTAGCATGCCTGTCAGCACTGAGCATGATCACAGGTAAGCACCACCCTGCTGTTACCCGAAGTGACCACCTCCCCCTTTCTCTCCTTTCCTGTGTTAAGGTGGATTCTGGCTTTGGTTGTCACACACACCAGAAAATTAAGAAAATGACTGGCACTTTTCTGAAATCTGTGACGTTAAACCTAGTTTAAACAAGAGACATATATCTGTAATTTATTGTCATGAATCTCCAGGAGAGAGAAGTCCTATTGAGCTATCATTGTCAACAAGCCCAATATGTGAAAATCTAAGTTTCCACAGGCGTTGTGTTGACAGTTGAACTAGCTGCTGTAGGGTTATTTTTACATGGGTTTCAAAGGAAGATTACCTTAACCAGCCTTTTCCTGTGGGGCAGAGGGGCAACTCTTCCCCTCTCCCCAGTCCTTGGCTATTGACCCAAAGTAAAACCAAAGAACTACACATATATAAAACACACACATATTTATTTATGCACAACTTTGTTTAACAACTTCGATTGGCAGAGAGAACTGAGGAAAATGGATATTTGTAAACAATAAAAATGAATGCCTCAGCTCAATTTTTAAAAGTTAAGAAACAGAAGCATAAAACATATTCAATTTCTATATTATGTCTTTCTATCCCTAGACGTCTCTCTCTTTCCATCTTTTGGGAGATAAAGAGTCCCAAGATGGAATGAGAGAGAGAGAATGAGAGAAGAGAGAACTAGAAAGGCATATCAGGTAAGCGAGGAGATCCCATCTTCCTGTGGCTGCTCCCGAGGCCCCAGGCCCCAGCTCCCTTTGTACCTTGATACTTTCAGGGTTTCTGGTTTGACCTCCTCTGTTTTAGCCAGACTGGGGCCTGGTGAGGCAGTGACCACAGGTGGCGGCTCCAGGAGAGGCTGGCCAGACCTGGGGCTCACCTCCCATTTTTTTTTTTTTTTTT